TCCCAGTGCCCCCCAGTTCATCCCAGTTTGTCCCAGTTCGTCCCAGTGCCCTCCCAGTGCCCCCCAACACATCCCAGTGCCCTCCCAGTGCCCCCCAGTTTGTCCCAGTTTGTCCCAGTGCCCTCCCAGTGCCCTTACGGTGGTGGCCGAGTGTCCCTGGCCCCGTGGGCAGCGAGAGAGAGACAGTCAGAGGGACATGGGGACATCGGGGTGACATTGGGGACATTGGGGACATTGGGGACATTGGGGGACATTGGGGACATTGGGGACATTGGGGACATTGGGGACATTTGGGGACATTGAGGACAGTGGGGACATTGGGGACATTGGGGGGATTGGGGGACATTGGGGACATCGGGGACATTGGGGGACATTGGGGACATCGGGGACACAGCACAGGGACACTGGGGGACACCACGGACCCAAAAGCTCTGTCTGGGGACCCCCCAGCAGGAATTTGGGGTGAAATCGGCCAATTTTGGGCTGCCACAAAGCAAATTTGGGTGCAGCCAATGGGATTTGGGGATGATTTTGGGGCTCCCAGCGGGATTTTGGGGTGAAAAAAGCAGATTTAGGGATTCTCACAAGGATTTTGGGGTGAAACTCTGGGGTTCTGGGACACCTTACAAGGATTTTTGGGGGAATCTACCCAATTTTGGGATTTCTAAAGGGATTTTGGGGTGAAATAAGTGGATTTGGGGATTCCTAGAGGGATTTGGGGAGATGAACCTCCCCGATTTCTGGAGTCCTAGATGGATTTTGGGGTGAAACGAGCAGATTTGAGGATTCCTAGAGGACTTTTGGGATCAAAGAAGCGAATTTTGGGATTCCTGGAAGGATTTTGGGGTGAATCCACCCCAGTTCTGGGAATTCTAAAGGGATTTTGGGGTGGAACGAGCAGATTTTGGGGGTTTTTGGGATGCTCCGGAGGGACCCCGCCCTTACCAGGTCACCCTTGGTCCGGGGCCGCTGGGCAGAGACAAGAGACAGTGAGGGGACAT